AATAAATTAGAAATAAATTCTAACAACTCAAATATAATATTAACAAACAAAAACGATATTATAGGGGTTCAAATAAAAATCACCTTATTTAGATGGACTAAAAGCATACGTTGTATGTAATTTAATTTTATATATTGCGATTATAGCTTTTAAAGAGTTTGTATACTTGTAAGCTAGTTTCAGTAAGATTAATGCCCCATTCATATGTTTTCTATTTGCAATATTACTACCTTGCATTGTTTCTCATAAATGAAAATAATAATTGATCTTCTATGAGAAAATTTAATACTCTTATTTTGAAATTTTATACTATGTATTATTCTTTGTAATCCTATAACAGTTACTGTAAGTACTACCTCCGTCCCATATTAAACTTCCAATTGCGGGTTACGAAGTTTGACCAGCGATAAAGTTAAATGATCCCTGTGAATACGCGGATTATTTTTAAAAAAATAAAATTTACATATTCAGAAACTACGTCAAACCCGCTACAAAGTCTGCAAAAAAAATCATTTTTTATAAAATTTTGATATATAAAGTAAGAGTTTAAGTGTGATTTAAGTTGACCCTCGAGAAGCGAAATGGAAGTTTATTTAGGGACGGAGTATTATTTTCTCCAAAGATCAAAAGTTTGGTATTGGAAAAGTCTAATCGAAAGAAAAATCAGTACAAGCTTCTTCATACGTAGTATGAAAGATATGTCTAATTTCCTTTATGTTCCGTGTAAATAGCACCATCTGCATACTCAAATTCGTGGAGACGACATGACACCGACACCCACAATGCACAGAGATCTTTAGATGAATGTATAGAATTCTTTACGACCTTAATCCCCGAAGCTGATATAATTGGATATGCAATCGCTGTTTAGATTAATTGGAAACATTTTGGACCCAATTTAAGAGGCCGCACAAGGGAATAAAACAATTGCATTATTCTTTTCACTCATTAGCCTATAATAGTAAATGAATAGATTGATCAAAAGAGTAGATCTAATTGTACATAAGTACAAAACTACGGAGTAATACTTTTGGACTAAAACTACTGCACACTACTTAAATTATACTCCGTACATAGTCCATAGTAGCATTTTGATAAGTGGTAGTTTTAAACACAAAAGTATTACTTCTTATCAATCAAGAGAAGACATAAGACATGAGAGCACAAGATATAGCCACATAAATGTTAATATACGAAGTATAAATTATTTATTTCCTTATTTGAATGATCTTATACAATTTTGGTAAATTTTTCTTAAACTTACCAAAATAGCGGAAAGAGTCGCGGAAATTGGAAGAGAAGATGCCACAGGAACTGCGGAAATAATAGGACTTCTCTGCTTCTCACGGTCTCATTTCAGAATTACAGAATGTTTGTATATATAGGAAAGTAGGAGCTTTTTAGGATTCCTAAATTTTTGTTGCCTAAGATCGACTTCTCACCAAAAAATATCGACTTCTAACGTTTGTGAGACTCTAATTTTGAGGGGAATCTATCTTTATCTTTATATAATATTTCTTCCATTCTTTTTAGTTATAACGGTCAACATTTCACACTTGCCAACACACGTATTTGACCGTAATAATATCTTAATCTCTATTAGTAAAAAAATTAAAAATCAGATTTTGAAAATTTGTAATGAGTTGAATTGAACAATACTTTTAAAATGTAGTCAAAGTAGAACATGTGAATAGTGTAAAATTCAACATGTTGCGATTAAAAAACGGAGATACTATAAAGTAACAAGTTTAGGCAACCATTGGTGGAGAAAATCAAGCCTATAATAAGGGCAAAATAGGGAATTAATGAAAAAAATTGGTAATTAATTGTATTAATTGAAAGGTAGGAGAGAAATATACTTCGTATTATGCAATGACCAAGCATTAATAATGATTTTTACTCGAATGTTACCATATATGCTTAGGTTGCTATAATTATTATGCTCACCTAATAGCATATGAATAATAAAAAATTTTCCGTATAATATTAGGTATCATATTTTTTTGTGAGAAGAAGTCGATCTTAGGCAACAAAAATTTAGGAATCCTAAAAAACTCCTACTTTCCTATCAATATATATATATAAGAGGAACTTTATAAGAGTATATAAAGCGCCACATAATCATGTCATGTCATCCATCATTTAATTTTTTAATATTCCGTATCTTTTATTTATTTTATTAGATTCTATTTTTGATTGCATATTGATATGGAAACAAAAGACTTTATGATAAAAATCCACCTTATTTGGAAACTTAACAGACAAATCAGTTCCTTAAAAAAATAGATAAATCAGGCAAATTGCTATTTATTTTGTCTTCAAAATTATTTATATATAAAAAAAGTATTAATAGTGTCCTATTCCCTAAAATGTTACTCCATATATTTTATTCTTCTAAACTCAATGTTGAGATCATGCTTAAAATTTTAAGCTATAGATTTGAAACTGTGTTAATACTTCGTATTTTCCTACATCTTCGTATAATACTTTTTTAATTATTAACACAATGATGAAAATTATAACCACCGAATTTTTGAAATTAAAAGCGAAATTAGTACTATTAGACATTCATATATAGAATCATATAAAGAGAATACTTCTAATCAAGTAGCTTATCTTTATTACGGAGTATTTAATAAGGATGAAAGTTGATATCTTGCATATGTGTGTTCACAAGTTAATACGTTTAGTCTAGCCAAAAGTACATATGTTGGATTGTTTCATTTCTTTATTTTTACTACGGAGTACCAAGTTGAGTAAAATGTAAGAACCTAACTCACTATTAAAATTTAAAAATATGTACTCCCTCCGTCCCCTTTTAAATGTCCAGGAAGAGGTTGACATGAGTTCTAAGAAAAGTGAGTTTGTATGATTGATGTTAATTGATAAAGTAATAATAAAGTAAGAGTGATTTTGAGTCACACAAACTTTACCAAATAAGGTATGAGACAATTAAATAGGGACATCCCGATATGGTAAAACGAGACATTTAAAAGGGGACGGAGGGAATATTTCATATCAAGTTGAATGAAAAATATTAGAAAAATATTATTTTGAAATGCTCAATAAAGTAATCTAGACGTTCATAACAATTAAAAATCATTTTCAATATGACGAAATAATGAGTAAAATGTAAAAAAAACTCCATTTTTTACATTTTCAATATGCTGAAATAATGAGTCAAATGTAAGATTTTACTATTAAAAGTTCAAAGTAAATACTCCACAGTTCATACCAAGTTCAATGAGGAATATGAAAAAAATTGAGGTGCATAATAAAATAATTTAGAAGACATGAGATTTATTAAGAAGCTTCTCTGTGAATTCTTTAAAATTGGGTTCACCACAATTGTGTTTGGTTGAGATTCTTATGTAAAAGAACATTTTAAATATTTTCCATATAATTGTCTCTTTATTTTACAAGTGAAATATTTTTTAATTTTTTTCATGATTCGAGAAATTCTGCCTATTCAGCCTATTCAAGTGATTCAACATGAATTTAATCAATTTCAGTAAAATAAGCTGATTTCGCTAATTTTACTACGTGTATTATCAAACGAACTCTATATTTAGATTGCGTTTATTTTGCTTTTGCATCACGTTATATATGATTTCGAAAATATCAAATTTAAAATTAGCTATATTATGTACTACCCGTACATCGCACGGGCTTGAAACCTGGTATATATATATACAAACATTCTTGTAATTCTGAAACGAGAAGCAGAGAAGCCCTATTATTTCCGCAGTTCCTGTGGCATCTTCTCTTCCAATTTCCGCGACTCTTTCCGCTGTGGTCGAAATTAAATCAGACTATTTGATTATTTCCGAGCTCTCTTGAAGAATGACTAAGGAAGCCGAAACCCCTCCAATCCCTGCACAAGAAGAAAACTCTGAGGGAACAATGACTTCTCAGTCAACAGCTGCAGAAAACGCTGATTCTGCCAGCTCCGCAAATACAGTTTCCAATGATCAGGACACAGACTCTGATATTGAAGACAATGGGATAGTGGAAGAAGATGGGATCATGTTTAACTACAAGACTAAAGATTTTAATGATTTTGAAGGGTTGTGGAAGGCGTTGCATGCTAAGGAACATATCATACGCAATATGAACCTTGAACTTCGAGATGTGTTTGAAGCGGTGAAGGAGAGCCAACTCAGCGTCCAAGGTCACGCATACTGTAACGTGTCTGCTTTTTTTCATGGCGGTGCCGGAAAGGTAACTTGGATTGGTGCATGCTTACGAAAATCCAAGTACAACGTGGGATAATAATAATAATTTCTTAATTGTTCAATTGTAACAGCTATATTTTAATTATTATAGTATCCATTGTATCAGGGTAGCTCATGATGAGTGATGCTATATTTTGCGTCTTTGCGATGTGTAAGCCTTAATTAGTCAATTGTGGGATATACATTGTCGTTTATTTTATTTTATTTTATTAAATTGTTACCTTAAAAAAATATTGAAATTATCCTTCAATTTGGTACTTCCTCTGATTCGAATTGTAAGACACTTTTTGGTTTACAATCTTTGACTGACGATAAATCAAACAAATCCATGTCCGCACTCAAGTTAATTATTTTAAAAAAAGAATTACATATTAAAAAACTACAATAAAAGGCTTACAAAGTCGCAAAAACCAGAATCAAATTTGATATATAAAGTAAGAGATTAAGAATAATTTATGTTGATCAAGTGAATAAGAAAAGTATCTTACAAGATGGAAGTAATATTTTAAGCAAAATTCCTTTACACATTTACACTCTAACATACTTTCACATATTTTATACTCACGCAAGTCGGGTCTGATCTGGTCTAATAAGATTTGATCTATTTAAATTTGGTCTAGTATGAGACTTAAAACAATCAAAGTAAAGACATCCTTAGTTTGAAAGACAATCAAATCAATTTACTAACAAGTATTTCAAAGTAAAAATAAAAATAACAATATTTTATTAAAATTGTTAAACTTTATTACTTCGTTTCTTGTGTTTGTTTATTCTCAACCTACATAAAACCCATCAATGTTTTTTGGATTGGGATCCTCTACCCGACTAGGAGGGTGCCTTGCGCATCGGACGGGAGGGGAGCGGCCAACACAGCCTCGAGATTGGCGAAAAATGGAGCCCAAGATCTCCGACCGTTGAATTATCGATCGGACGATCGGGAGGAAGCAAGACACTCTACCTTACTCTAAAGTAAGGTAGAGGCTCCGGATCCATGTTTTTTTAGAGTAGTTCATGGGCTTCAAAATCATGAAGGCCCACGCTTTATTTAAAAAGCTAGACTAGATAGAAACCCCGCCTGGCATTAGAGCTTGAGTTGATGGTAAAAAAAAGTCAAAATCATTCAACTTGATCCTTACTATTTTCCTTAAACCGATCAATCCTGAAAGGATCCAGGCCAGGTGAGTTAGTTGAAGATCCGGTTGAGACAAGATCCGCCAGAATCTGGCCTATTAACGGCCCCATTTTGAACCCGTGGCCGGAGAACCCGCCGGCAACCACCACATCCTTGCCGAACTTCCCGCCCAGGAAGTCAATTACGAAGTCCTCGTCCGGCGTCATTGAATACATACACGACTGCGACATTACCGGCGCAGACGAGTCCACCTTACCCCCGAATCGTTCCTCTATCCACTGTTTCAGTGAAGTCTGAGCACTCGCCGATGGCGCAAAGGTGCAGCGATCCGGCTCACATTCGGGTCCCCCGTGCCAACCAACCTTCAGCAGCCCGGGGTACTCGAACGACGGCGTTCCGTACACGTACGGAATTCCGTAGCTCGCGAACACCGGGAAGCCAGACCCGATGGTGAACTCTTCTTCGTGACCGGGTTTTATCCTCCAATAGGAAACGTTCGTCTCCAACGGCTGAATGGGAAGCACCATTCGGCCGTTGGTGATGGTTTTAACTAATTTTTGCGCCCACGCGCCGACAGTGACTACACATTTTTTCCCGAGGAACTTATCACCATTCTTTGCGGTGACGGAGATGCCACCCGTCCGATCATCTCTCTCCACACCGTTAACCTCCACGTGGTCTCTGAGAGTCGCGCCGTGCTTAACGGCTAGGGATTGGAACATGGAAACGGCTTTGGTCGCCTTAATAACGCCGCCGAACTCAGTCACGACGCCGACCCAATCCTCCGGCAAATGAAAGCGGCCGTCAAATTGTTCCTTCACCTGTTTTGGATCCAAAACTCGGACCGGAAGGGATGTGTTCCGGCAGCTGGAGACGACGGCTTGCAGCCTCTTGTTGGTGGCAGGGCACATATCGAGCTGTGGGGTCCGGAAGTAGACACTGTAGCCGATCTCGGCTTCGGCTTCGCGCCAAAGGGGTTCGGCGGCTAAGGCCATTTTCGTAAAATATTGTTTCGGGTAAGTGGCGCGGTTGATTCTGGACTCGCCGTGGGAGGAGCCGCGGTGGTGGAGGAAGTCGAATTGCTCCAGGAGAAGAGTCCTAAGGCCGCGTTTGGCAGCTTGATAAGCCGTGCAGCTCCCCATTATTCCTCCTCCGATGACTATCACATCAAATTCGACGTTTTCCATTTTGCTGGGAGGATTCAATTGTTTTTAAATAAATTTGGTATTGCTATTGCTATTGTAAGGGAAAATGTGGGTTGAGAAGAGAGAGTTCATTCCGAAGTTATAAATTCTTAGAGGGATCGACCAAACTTCCATATTCAACGAGCATACATTTAGGTCGATGGATCATAAGGTAGTTCCTCCATAATCAAATGTTTGCTACAATTGGTAATTTCGGATAGAACCACCACCGATTGCAAAATCAATAGAAATTGCTTCACTTGTAATTCTAATTTTGTTTTCACATGCATATCAAGAAAATGGAATTACATACAAATATGCAATTGTGATTGATATTAACATATGAAATAGTACCAAATACACCAAACATCTTAAAAAGAAATGGAAAAATAAGACATCTATAAAAGGAATATCACAAGAAGAATACTTCCTCCTCCGTTCTTTTTTAATTGCAATGATTCACTTTTTATGTTTGTCAACGCACAAGTTTAACCATTAATATCTTTCATTCCTTATTAGTAAAAAAATTAGATTTTGAAAATTTAAAATGAGTAGATATTTAATTATATTTTTTTTTAAATTAATTTTTAATACATTCATAAATAAAATAGAGTCAAAATAGAACATGTAAATAGTGCAAAAAGTCCAATGTTGTATTTAAAAGAGAACGGATGTAGTATATGTGGAATGAAACACATTAACGAAACTTTTAATTGTAAATGTAAAATTTTATAGGAAATAACATTGTTCTAAGATCCGGCCTAGTGTGTCTGATTAATAGGATCCTACTCTCTAACTGGCCCCTAACTGTGGGAGACAACCCAACCTAGTCGGCCTAGTCAATATCTAGGCGCTACATCCCCCTCACCGCCCTACTAGTATAGAGGGAAATAGTAGGCTGTAGGTACATATAGGTACATATGTAGCACGGAAACTCTCGGGAAACAGTATGTTCCCGTTTCGGAAACTCTACGAAAATTATTTGAAAACTCTCCAAACAAGCCTTTTTGCAAAATTTGACATTTTCCGTTTTCCATTTTCCCATGATTTTAATGTTTCCCTGCAACATAAGTACTTATGTAGGTACCCATTACCACCATCCCATAAATGAGTTTGTACACATTGGCCTTTATTTCTACCTCTCTTCCTTTCTCAACATAATTATATTCTTTCTCTGCATTTTACGGAGTATATAATAATCTTAACTTTCCTGAGTACTTTTCTCTACAATATTATAAGAGGGAATATTGTCAAGGGTGTAATAATGATAAAAAATATGTTGGTGTCTCTTAATGCATTAAACCCTTATACCTTATGTTTACTATGTTGTACATCTAACCTTATTTTAACTTTCAGTTTTAACGGAAATGTTAAAACAGCCCATCTCCCGTCAGTCCTGTTTTAACCTTATTTTAGCTCTCCTTTCACCTCCTCTGTTCCAGTACACCATTTACTCACACCGCCAAATTAAAGGAGGAGCTACTGGAGCACCTGCGGGTCTGCACTGCTTCCACACTGTTCGCCGGGCTGCTATGCGATTGCCGATGGAGGAGGGTACGTGATTGGGTGAAGGAACCGCTGCACTCCATGTTTCCTCCGGCTTTGGTCAACGAGGTCGGAAGACAGTACGACCTTTAAATGAATAAAAAGGTTAAAATGGTAATATTTGGGCTGGATTAATAGTAATCATAATCATAGGTCAAACGAAACTGAAATGGATGATGTAAATAATGGACTATTATGGATGGAGCAATTACTATTGAAATGATTGAGTAGAAAATTGATTAATAAGAAGTATTGGATTTAGATTATAAATGAATAATTAAACCATAATAATTGGGGTAATAGTTAGTAAGGGTCTAGAATAATTATTAATTAAAGAATTTCAATATTCTTACAATGTGATTTTGGTGAAGATCGAGGTACAAGCCTCAGTTAGGATTTATCGCGATTCGAAGTAAGTGTCTATGTCAACCAAAATTATACAGTACTTTTTTAGTAGGACTTTCAGGATTTGTTTGCAAACACTAAAAAAACATCTTCCAGCTTGTGGCTTAAAAAAGTTAAAGAGTGTTTTCAAGTGACAACTTCTACTTAAAAAAAACTTTTCTCGACTTTTGTGCAAAAAGTATTTTTTACTTTTTCTATTACACAAAAATCACTTATTTTACCAAACAGACAAACACTACTAACTTTTACTTTTCAAAATCACTTTTTTCTCAAACACTACCAACTTTAGTATTAATCACTTTTCTTCAAATCACTTTAAAAAGTAAAAAGCATTTGGGAGTAGTGTTTGCAAACAAACCATGAGTACAATATTTCGGTTATGAATAATTAGCTTCAGATTTTCAAATAGTATTTCAGTTCTTCCGTCCAATACAAATGTTAGTTTATTCTCTACTCAAGCGATTTACATTTTATCACGTCTTTAGCGTTATTGTGTTCAATATCATTGCTTCAATTTAAATATTTATTTACATGTTCAATGTTTTTCTTACTTCCCATGTCGTGATTCCGTTAAGTTGTCATCTTGTTTAGCTTTAGCTTATTGTATATTCAATTTTGTCACCTCCTGGTTCCTTTGTTGGGTCATGTGTGTTTCCACAATCGTCAGAGATAGTTGTTTGGGTATCTCAAGTTGATGCAACGATCTTTTACACCCATTGTGGTTTATTTCATGTATTACCATATGAATTAAAAAAAATATTGATTCCCGAATCTTTTACCTTTTTCATACCATATGAATTAAGAACTATTGATTCCTGAATCTTTATATCTCCTTATTCAAAATTGCAATTTTTTAGCCTTTTCCATACACTTTTGTACCCGGAGTTTTAGTTAATTAGTGTACTTAATAACCCGGAGTTCTAGTTAATTAGTGTACTTAAAAAAATTGTACTTAATACACCTTAACTCTAACACCTTTTTTTTTTATCATCTTAACTCTAACACCTTGCCAGTTACTTGCTCCTTAGTTCATACTTAATACTCTAAAGTCTTGTTTTTTTACTGTATTCACATGTTTTATAAATTTAGAAAACCTGCTGAAAGGATCCCATTTCCATTTAGTCGACCTAAACCTCCTTCATCTTTGACCCCCCCTTCTTAAAAATCAAAATACACCTCCAATTGCTCCGTTGCATCTTCCTATATATACCTCCTTCACCATTGTACCCCATATAACCTATATTAATTGATGTTCACTGGAAAAGACCAAAAAAATTTCTTTGTTTTGGTGTTTTGTTCAAGCATATATCTTGTGTCATTGTTCTCCTAATTTAATTTAATTCGCGTGCACAACATTGTATAAATTTTGGGGTTTTCCTATAATATACTAAAACAGAGTTCGTGGGCAAACATATGACTTCATGGTCTAAGAAACATGTGTACAAATAGTTTACTCATAATACTCACACATTCATTCAACGTAACCTCATCAATTAATGAACATGCAATGGTCTTGGGCATTTACACGAACGCACATCGCACGTTGCTAAACTAGTACATTTTATAAAAGTAAAAATGTGTTGCATCGAAAGCATAATGGATCTGACGATAGTTCATGCCATTAACGTAACATAATTTATGAATTACTATGCGAAGGGGAACATTGATGGACCGGCCATAATATTGTAGAGTAATTGACAGGTCATGAGTTTAAATTTTTGGAGTGGCCTCTTATCAAAATGACAAGGAAACATTTCCTCTTAACTTCACTGTGGTGGGACCCTTACTCAAACTCTCGCCTTGCATGGACCCGATTTGCACCGGGTAGGCAGGTAGTCCCCTTTGAAATCAGTTAGTAATACGGTTCGTGAATAATACAATAATACATACGTGTATGTATAATACAATACAATTATATAAAATACGGCTTAATATATGTTTAGTACGTTCGTGAAATATATAAAGATACAGACGTGTTTTAAACGTTTCCTAATTTAATTTAAAAATACGGCATACAATATGTGTCTTATATACTAATTTAATGATAGAAATAAAGAGTTATTTAACATTTCCACCACATTCTTCAACAATTTAAAATGTACATAATAGTTTTTTCAGATATACAGATTTGAATGCATAGGTACAATAAGTAATAAAAATGACATTGCCTATTTAAGTAGAAGTAGAGAGATATTACTAGAGAATAGTTGATATAACTGTGACCGTTTGGTGAGCCGCCACAACATTTTTCGATCCCTTTGGAGTCTTGGTATGGGTGGAGAACAAAAGTAATACAATAGTAGTACAATAGTAATATCGAAACAGATTACGAATTTAAGAAGCTAATTTATTAAATGTAATGACTATTAAACAATTAACGAACATATAAGGCATAAAGTTTTTTAAGCAATATAAATAATATTGAGCAGCTAGACATTTCGTTTCAGTTGTATCACTCCATTAGGCTTCCGTTTAATGGTGTGTGTTTTTGAATAAAATACGTATCAATACATACAGTATATGTGTGGTATACATTTTATCCTTAATGTATGTGGGTTTTTCAGAATTTTCTGAAAAATTCATAAACGAGAGTATTATTCGTGAATAAAATACGTATCAATACGGTTCATTATGATTTATGCAATGGAGTTTAAGAAACTGCATAAATCATTATTGATAATAATATACGGTTCATTATGATTTATGCAATGGAGTTTATGAAATCAGTATATGTGTGATAGTACATTTTATCCTTAAAGTACGTGAATTTTTCAGAATTTTTTGAAAAAATCATAAATGGGAGTATTATACGTTTGAGTGTATTATACGCGAATTATACGCGAATAAACTAACAGAGATCAGTATACCTTTTAAAATCCTAAGTAATAACAACAACATCAAATTGTGTCCCATGAGATTAAGAGGTCTGTTTCACCCAATTCAGTTGAGCCCAATTCTTTTTTTTAATGGAGTTCAGCCCAAATGTTAACCCACTCCACTAATTTATTTAATTTTTATCCGCTACAAAATATTTAGATAATTCACATAAATTGCAAACCTTGCTGACATTTGGCTACTCTATTTGTACTAGTTTTGTTATGCACGTTGCGCAAATGGAGTAATGCCCAATATTATTTATGTTGTACAATAATGAGGTTGAAAAAAAAGGTAGTGTAAAGAAGC